ATCATAGATATATGCTTTAAGAAGCATGGTTACCCTCTTTATTGGCAACAACAAAACCACATCAATAATGTAGCATATGATCATACTCGTGAAAATGAGATTCAACTTGAAACTACTAAAGATCGGCCGCATGACTTGTCTTTAAATTGTATAGGTTTTACCCCTAACTAACATAAAGATTTGTTGACATTACTCCAACAATCATCACAATCAAGCTTTCATAGTGTAAATCATCTCATTACTCAACCAAAATCCAACACATGTATTATTTGTAATTTATCTCATCATGTCAAATCTGAAGCATTCATCCTTAACACGGGTGCCACTGATCATGTTTTTTTTCCTAAAAAAATTTACTTGCTTGAAAAGAATTTCTCCTATAATAGTGAAACTTCCAAATGGTTCTTTAGTTATCGCTGAATTTTCAGGAACTATTATCTTTGATTCTCATTTCACTTTAACCAATGTTTTATACATGCCTCAATTTTCATTCAATCTTATATTTCTCCCTAAATGGACTCACATCCTTGTATGTTAACTCATTTTTTATAATTCCACTTACTTGATACAAAAATCCTACTCCAAGAAGATGATTGGTGCAGTTGAATTAAGAGGTGAACTTTACATTCTCAATCATGCTCGTGTTGCAGTTCCACACACACACCCTTGTTACACTGATGCATCCATCAATTCTCTCATTTTGAAGTACAATTTTTGTATCAATTCTACTAAGAGTTTACTTTCACACATGACAATAATTGTAACATTTGACACTTAAGACTTGTCCATCTTTTGTATGACAAGTTGATTGAAATAAAGAAAACTTTTTCTTCTGTCCAAATTATGCAATCTTATATGCCTTGTAATGTTTGCTTCTATGTCAAGCAAAAGAGATAATCTTTTCCTCATAGTACTCATAAGTTTGTTGATATTTTTGAATTCATTCATATGGATATGGACCCTTTATCCATTCCTTCCATCAATGGTGACAACTATTTTCTTACTGTTGTTGATGATAAAAGTCACTTTACATGGATCTTCCTTATGAAGTGTAAATCAAAAACATATTATCTTATTAAAGCCTTTGTATCTTTAGTTCATACACAATTTAATAGATCCATCAAATGCACCGGGTAAGATAATGACAATGAATTTCTCCTTAGAGATTTTTATAGAGAATCTGACATTGTACATCATACTTCATGTCTTGAAACACCTCAACAAAATGAAATAATTGAGAGAAAACACTGACACATTTTTGACATCACTAGAGGTCTTCTATTTCAAGCATAATTACCTAAGATTTTTTAGTCTTATGCAGTCAGTCATGTCATTCATATCATAAATAGATTTCCTACACCTTTATTGCAAACAAGTCACCTTTTCATGTTTTATATCAATGTTTGCCTTATTTAACTCTCCTCAAATTTTTTGACTCTTTTTATTTTGCATCAACGCTATAATCTAATAGGTAGAAATTGGACTTTAGATTCAAGAAATGCATTTATCTAAGTCTATATATAAGTGTTAAGGGTCCTATTATATTTGACTTACAATATAAAGAATTTTTTTGTCAAAGAGATGTTAAGACATAGTTGAGAGTTAGTTGTTGAGAATAACTAACTATAGCTCTTATAAGTAGTATGAGGTTCATCATTGTGTAGTTGATTTTGTGTAATTCAATTCACATAGTGCAATGCAAGCTAGTATATACATTTTGATGGTGATTTTGGTTTAACTTTCACAGAAGAATAGTTATTGAGATCAATTGAGGAGGAGTCACTTGTAAAGACAACTATAAAAGAGAAGGACGACATTGCAGCAAATGTGTGATTAGTAATAATCATAACATTTAAGTAGAATGAGTTGTGTTTTAAAAGAACCGCTTCCTAAACATTATTAATCAATTATAGAATGAATGTGGTTTTATATCATAATTGCTACTTTCGTACTTATTTACTTAAAACTTATATCCTATTCATTGTATTAGGTTTAATATATCTTGTATTTTTTTAAATAATCAAGATTATACAACATTGCACTGTTTATCCCTTGTTGGATGACAAAATCTTTCTTCTTAAAAACTACATTCATTATCCTAAGTGACACAATATTGTTATGCATGAGTCTTTACACTCTCTGTAAAATATTCACAACCTCAGGTACTAAAAAACTCAAAGTGACAAAGATAAATTGTATGAAAGCATGTTGATTGTCGGAACACGCTTTTTCATCCTTGGCCACTTTACTTGAAGCAGATTTGAGAGTTGTTTGTCCCATAGTAAAACCTTCATTCCTCAGTCTCACTACTGGAAAAACTTCAGTCAAGTCTACACATGCATGTTTCCCTCCTACCCGCCCATTGACTAGAACATCTATTGGTCTAAGAGTCGATCTCCCCATCTTGGGCAAGTCAAGAAATTCACAGATGCCTCTTTCTTCACAGATACCTCTGCATGTCTAAATATATCTAATATGACACCTCTAACAAAGTCAAGTCGGTATTTGAATCTTGAAAGCTCCTTGCAAAGAATAGTGTGTTCCTCAAATGTATCCAAGCACGCCTTGTGACAATCAGGGTAAACCTGATCAATAAGAAATAAGAGGATCATAAACCAGTATTTAAGTGGTACAATACTCTACCAAAAACAGATGTTGATTTAGACCATCAATAAAATAGCAGAGAATTGCAGGGCTGAAAAGAAAATTTTATGAGGATAAATTCCAAAAGACTTCAAAAATGGTGTTATTACGATTAACCTCCCATATCTATCCTAGATTTATTAATTAATAATCAATATTAGAGGATTTCATAATGCACCCTATGTGTTTTTTAGGCACCACGTGAAAATACTAAAATTTCTCAGTTTTTCAAAATGCATCTCCAGACGCACCCCAATACACCCCTTTAATTTGTTTTCGAGTCATACCTCAATCTTATGAATAAATTTAATTCGAAAATATATTTCTAAAACCTACTAAAAAATAAAAGTTGTCATGTGGTGAAGTAGTCTTTCTATTAATGTTTATCCGTGAAGTATAGGGATGGCAATGGGTAGGGTTGGCCAGGATATTATAGTACTCATCCCCATACCCGCAATTTGAAAAAATCCATGTACCTGAGCCCATACCCGCTTGGGCGCCAAAGTTAGCACTCGTACCCGTGCCTTATGAGTATGTAAATACTCGTACCCGCACCTGTTACATGCATTCCTATTAAAAGTAAATAGATCAATTATAAAATATCATATTATTTTAAATTTTTAAAAACATTAAAAAGTTTTCAAAAAATTCATTGTTGAAATAAACGAACATTTATATTAAATACATAATGATTTAACATTTATATACTTTTTAAAAATTAATAGACGTACATAGGGCTGGCAATGAACCAAACCAACTCGAAGATAGTTCGGAATTCAACTCGACAATTAAATCGTTGAACTAGGTTCATGAACCAAATGAGTTGAGTATGAGCGAAAAATTAAGTTCGTTAACTAAATGAGCTGAACTTGAACTATACATAGTTCGACTCGTTAGGTTCATGAGTCAACTCGATTACATATGAAAAGAATTATACTGTCTTTAAGATTAGGTTTAAATATTTACTTCAAATCTTAGACAAATTTAATCTTCAATTTAGTAGTTTTTGAATTAGACTCTCAAATGTATCTCTTGAAAGTTGTGTAGGTTTTGAATTAGTAGATTTTGAAGATAAAGTTAAATATCAATATGATAACTTTTATTTTATTTTAATATTTTATTTAAAAAATATATATTTATTTAAAATGTCAAATATACTAAAAAATATATATATTTAAAAAAATAGTTTTTAAGTTCGTGAACCATGTGAGCTGAACCTAATGAGATGAACCTAACGAGTCGAACCGAACTGTTCGTGAACTTATAACGAGTCGAGTTTGAGCTTAAAAAAAAGTTCGTGTCGAACTCGAACTCGAACTCGAATTCGAACAATTCTTAACGAGTCGAGCCGAGCTGAGGTGAGTTCGACTCGACTCGACTCATTTCCAGCCCTAGACGTACATGTCATTTAATAATATAAATCAAAATATATATAAATATAAATTAAAATACATAAACATATATTGTGCGAATATGAGACGGGGTAGGTACCAAGGTGTCTATACTCACACCCATACACACTTATTTTTGTGGGTAATTACTTGAACTCGTGCACGTAATCATTTTTGCGGACTTTTATTCTATCCATTATGGATAATTTTGCGGATGCCCATTAGAGATAGGTCAAATTTTCATCCCTATTGAAGTAGTCCTTCTATTAATGTTAATCAAAAACATGTTTGTATTGCCACCGGAAATCTCTATTCTGCTCCAAAAGACATACTTGATTGTCAAGAAAGGCAAAATAATCAAACTATTCCTGTTGAAACTGACGAGTGTATTGAAGCAGAAAATCACTCTACTCCAATGTTGGCCCTTGATTTGGACACCGATGATATCAAATGGTACAAATAATTAGAAGGCTTTGATATTATTCTTTAGACTGTAAAATGAATTGCATGATGTTAGTCCAACTTTTTGTTGGTGAATTATTTAGGATTGGATGTCATAAGTGATATTTTAAATTTCCCATGTTCATTATATGTTTTCTCCGTCATTGTCATTAGAATTCTTGTGCCTGAGTACCTCTCAAACTTTTGTTTACATTATTATTTTCATAAAAAATCAAAATCATCAAATTTTCCCAAATGCAAGTGCCTCGTCACTCAAGGTCCATCAGTAACAGAAGTTAACATTGGTTCCAAAATTATTTTTAGAACAATATAGAACATCATGCCACCAGGAGAAAAAATGGCAGTCACAATTTGATTTGCAATTATGCATGATTAGTTATAAATTTCGACTTATGTCACAACAATTTATTCAGCTAATAAAATTGCACTGGCAACACCGAAAACATTATTAATTTTTCAGAAACGATAACAAATGCAGCATTAACTTTCCAGATACCAGCAGCTTCAATATCCTTCAGTCTTACTTTTCCACCACTCCAGAAACTTAGCCTCAGAAGCCAATGTGTCCACCCTGTAAAGTTGAAGGGAATGATTTGCGATTTCATGCCCAAATGTCCATCCAAATACACCTCCAGCTAGTAAGGACAGACCAGCACCTGTTCATAGTAAAACATGACATTTGGTAAGAAAAATAGTAAAACATTGACAAGAGCATATGAAATATTTTCATAAAGAAAAAATTGCTAACTATACAGAAGACCTACATTAAAGCTTTGAGCAGAAAATATTATTAAATATGAAGAGTCAAAAACATTCATGCATAGTAAAAGGTTTTAATAGTAGTATGAAGAGTAACAGATTACCATGTAAACTCCTTGAATATTTCCAGGCAAAACCTGCAGTGAATAATGCTCCCAAAGCACTTCCTGTGAGGCCATATTGCACTGCTTCTCTAGCAGTTCTCAGCTGAAATGGGAAAAGGATGTTGTTACCCAAGCAGCACTTTAGATAACAGTTAATTTTAAATTTGAAGACACACAAGATCAATAATGGTCAAGCTATATATTTTTCAAACAGGCACACAAAAGGATTAAGAAAGAAAGGGAGTAGCAAATTAGTTAAGATATCCTTTTTCAATTAAGGGACCAAGCTCCGATATAAATCATCATCACATGAAACAGAAAAATATGGTTGCTCATTTGGAAAGTGTCTGGATGTTTCATTCCCAATCACCATTGGTAATGAAAACATGTTTAGTTCATTGATCATTGCGTATTTGAATTAAGAATCACAACCACCAACCAATAGATAGCAAACGCTCTCATGTCAAATGGGGTGATAGAGCTGTGACTGCTTTGAAAAGTGAGAACACAAAGTAAAATAGATAAGATTTCCCTGCAACTATATATGTGCACTAGACTTCCTTACTGAACATATCAAAGAGACCACTAAAATGCATAATAAATGGAAAGATAGAAATATGAGATAAACCTTAGACAGATATGGCTTCCACCTAAGTACGAGTAAAACAAAGAATATGAAATACAAATATATCTAAAGAAACCAAAATCATATATTAGAGATGAAAATTGAAGAGAAAATAATTATAATACAATAAGTCATGTGTTCTAAGTAAATTAAGTCCATCATCCAAAATGATGGAGAGATAGAAGGAAATGTTATCATTATATTCAAGCAAAGAAGATGAAAGGAAGGATTGTTTCAAGTAGGATGCATAGGAATACAGTTACTATAAAAAATACTGGGACAGCTACCACCAGAAATATTGCTAAATAGTAAATTATTGTCTTAGATTGTTTAAACATGTAAAAAGAAGATTCATACATGCACCAATGAGGAGGGTTGACCAAATAAAAATAGTCCAATAGTTAGAAATATATGGAAGGAACTCTTAATGGTAAAAGAAAAAAACTTTTGAAAATCAAAGTTAATGCCCAACCCCAACTCAAAATTGAGTAATTACAACTAGAGCATCCAAATATCTCCAAGGAAGTCCGAATTCACAGACTCTGCTTCATACAGTGGTCCATTTATTTGAGCTTAGAAAAAGTAGTTATATGATACAGCTCGTTATAGAGATTTTTTCAAGAACTCTTCGTTCTAACTTTCACTTTTTGTGGCTTCTAATTTTTTCCCACAAACTTACATAATCAGCATAAATCTTTTAAACATGCATTTTAATTAAAAAATAGATGTTTTCCGTTCAAAAAATGACAACCATAGAGGTTGTTTCTATAATTCTATCTAAGAGTCCCACTTGCATCTATATTGTTAGTGATTTTTATTCCACATAACAAGTCATCATAGACTGTCTAAGTTAGTGGCTTAAATTTTAATCATGCAGAAAACATGGAAAAATATCGGATGGTACAAAACTAACTGAAGAGACATGTCATCATGGCTGCCCTGACAAATATAATGATAAAAAACACACAAAATAGCATGTGGTTACATGAGTATGATGTCTGTTTCATCAGACAAGGGTAGCAGAAGAGCTTCCAAAAGGAATTTGATCCATATATAGAGATTTACACATTTTAGACACCACATCTACCACAAGCAAAAAAGAAATAGTGATTTTCATCTCTTGATGTTGTGCTACTTGTGCAGTCTATGCAGCAACATCAAAAGAATGAACCAGGATAGAAGAATTTAAATTAAATGCCAAAGCTTCCAACTAAAAGTGCAGAGTGTAAACATGTATCTTAAACTACTTAATGCTTTTGTGCTTTCATTGGTATCACTGACTATTTGGCAAATTTCAAGATTGTTTTTATAATCACAGTTTTCATTATATATTCTATTAAAAAAACATTATGTTTGAGCCTTACATCATGGAATTTTTATGATTCATTTTTGGTTTTCATCATAGATCACATATCTATATCGTCAAACTAGATCCGCTTGTTCAATTTTTTTCTCATTCTTTCTCCTAACTCTATTTTTTACTTAATTTCATTCTTTCTCCCAACTTTCTATTTCTTTCTTAATCTCGTTCTCACACATTATTAAAAAAAAAATAATCAAGGGAGAAAATGAGATTATGGGAGAGATGAAGAGTCGGGAGAGGAAATAAGAGAAAAATGAAAGAGATGATTCTAAGTGGATGACATCACATATGTTGAATAATCAAATCATTCAATTCAATCATGCACTTCAATAACAAGCCAATTTTTAAAAAACTTCTCGAGAGTTAATGATTGCTACTACTTTTGATGAAACAAACTTGCAAAGTACAGTACTAAAAATTATTTAAGGTAACATTTTTGGTTTGGAAAACAGACAATTTTTTTCCATTAAAAAAATTGATTATCTATCACTAATGATGTAGCCCCAATAAAACAAACAAGTCACAACCAAAAACTCAGGTCAAAGAAAGCACAACATCCATAAGTTGACAGGAGGAGGTATAGCAAAACTGCCCTTAACATTGTTCATCGATAACATCCAACAAAGTTCTTTAATAGACTGAAGGACCATCTTCCAGAAAATAGGGAGGGTAGAAGATTCAATTTGAAGTTTAGATTGATTCTAATTTAATGATAAAAATCTATCCTGTAACGTAGTCTTCCCAAAAACACATATTTTAATTTAATCCAGATACCAGATGTTTGTTATGCTTTCCTAGCTTCTTTTTTCATCGAACCAATGTCCTTCCTCCACTTCTTGGCCCACCATTCAGTGATTACTAGATTATCCCTGCTCACAGTTTTTAGACTCATAGTCATAGCTGTACCTTTATCACCATGTCCTGATTTAGCATAACCGCATACTGCTGCCATTAGTGTATCTGCCGCTTCAGTTATTTCACGGTTTAGAAAACTTTGTACATCCAAACCATAGAGCTTAAAAAATTCAGAATAAGCAGGTGGACAATCTCTTATTAATCCAACACCCTGCATAACTAACTCAATCTGCTTTTTATATATTCTATTAACTTCCTGCCCAGCTGGAAACTTCCCCCAATCCCTCTGACTTGAATCAACGATCATGATCCTCTGAACAGGCGGAGGCGACACATCAAGCCTCAGAGCCAGATGTGGTGCCAAACAATCCATATAAAACAACAAAGTTCATCCAAGCAACATCAGTGACAGACATATTATCTAGTACATTCAAAATTCCCGTATCACGTGCATCAAAGTTCATCTGAGCTTTCTCACTAACAAACATGTAAGCGTTATCAACAACATTCTTTGGATCAGCCACCTCACCTGCGGGACCTACACCCCAGTCAGCAAAGAGAGATGTCCCAGGTGTAGAGTCTAGTGTTGCAATCTCAGCAAGCACAGTGGCAGCGGGAGTGTTTTGTTGCATGAGCTCTTTCATACGATCATATGACATTCGTGTCATTTGCCAATAGTTGGTAATCAGGTCAGACTGGGGATTGGAACGACCCGTGAGAGGTGTGACAAGATTAATGCCTAACCCAGAAGGAATGATTAGCCACTTGTGAGACTTGAGGTACTCAACTCTTCCATTTTGATCCTTCAGTTCCGCTCGAGCATTAATATTAGTTAGATCTAAGGCTGCCTCCATAATTTCCCAGTCATATTCCACATAGCACAATTCATTAGAAATATCAACTCCGACTTGAGAAGCCATCTGGGTAGTAGCTAGTATTCGGTCCATTGGATTTACAGACTCATTCCTAACGTCGGACATTGTATCTATTAAGGAGGAGGGTAGACGAGATGGAATGTAAACAACTAGAGGAAGACTGTTTGAATGAGTTCACCCAATGAAATGGCGAGATTTTAAAGACATGAAGAGCAACACATACTGTCAGTCGAAGATTGTGCAAACCCCGAAACAAGAGAAAGGAATTAAATGAAAAATAATGATTACAGAAAGAGTTCCAAGAACAAAAACAGCGCTACAGAGATAACCAAGCATAACCAATTTCAGATGCCGACAGTGACACACACCTCTTTTCAGAGGTGCCGGTGCTACAGAGCTAACCAAGCATGCATGAGAGAGAGCCCTTCTCCAATCAAACAATATAAAACATATGCCAGCTAACAAAACTATAACCATACATTGACCACACCAACATAAAAGATATACAAATCATAAACTATGTAGAAGTTCAGAATATAATGTAACAACTAGTGAGAATCAAATGCATTAAAGGAAATCAATCAAACCGCACAAAATGACATGAAAATACAGAAATGGAGATGAAAAAGTTGAAGAAGCGCATTACCACAGGTCCATGAACAGGATCCGAAGCGATGAATTCCTCAACATCAGAATCAGACCAGGAGGTGAGGGGTTTATCACGCTTGACGAAGTTGGAATAATTGTTCATAAACGAAAACCTGTCGCACCAAAACTCTTTGTAGCCTTCCCATAAAGACTGAGATGATGAATCTTGCGAGTTACCTGCCATCACCAAAACCCTTTTTTCCCTTCAATTGTTTCACTCTGCAATGAACAATCATTTTCATGTTTGGATCATAAACATTTGGAAATTAAAGCCATAAATAAATGGTAGAATCTGAAATTAAATGAATGAGAATGATGGATCAGAACTTCGATTAAGAAAATTAGGGATAGAAATTGGAGTTTGAAAACAAACCAGTGAAGCTGACGAAGAAGACGAAAAGTGACGAGCAGAGTAGTTTTCAGAAATTAGTGTTTTGCTGTTTAGGTTTACCAAATGAAAATAATATATGCTTTTTGTTTCAGATCCATTTATCGTGTCATATTCCCTTCACTCTAGAATACAATTAAAATTTGATTAAAACAATTTATGTATTTTGTAGGAGTTTTAGGAGTGATTAATCACACGTGGATCCATCACACGTGGTAAATAAAAATGTAATAATTTAAAATTTGCAACTAATTAGTTTAAAGAAATTTTCACTCAAATAACTACATTATACCCATTTACCCCACTTTCCCTCTTATTTTCTAATCTACCCATGTTTCTAATTTTTATTTTTTTTTAATATAAGGGGGCGTCATTGGGTCTGGCTCCTCCCTTATAATTTGTAGGGGGGCGCCATCCAGGATGAAGGCACCCTATAAATTATAAAGGGGACGCCATACCCTTTGACTCCTCCCTTAAATCCGATTTTTAAAAATAATTTTAAATATATAATTAGTTTTAAAATATTTAAAAAATGATATATAATAATTAAAAATTATTTTAAAAATAAAAATTATATAATAATAATTTTTGAATAATTTTTATATATTTTACAAATAATAAATAATTAATAATTAATAATTTCATTAATAAATTTCAAATAATAAATAAAAATCAAATTGTATTTAATAAATTTAATATTAAATAATAATTACAATAATTATTTAATCACAAATATGTACATATGAAAGATATTGTACATTAGTTTCTACGTCGTGGTCGGTTTAAATGTCCGCCCGTACCGCATCCCCGATCACGTACGTTTCTTTTTCTTTGTGGTCTTTGTTGTGGAGTCGGGTCCATTGTGTCGTCTTCAAGCAATTGCATCACTTCGACCCATGAAGACGGGTCCATATCCGTAAAGTCATCCAAATCAAAAGGGTTGTCCGTGCCTTCATAATTATTTTGGGGTGGTTGGCTGGATGAGGCAATGTCAGGACGATAGCCTGCCTGATCGTAGGGTGGGATGGGTGTAAATGATTGGGTGGGTATGGGTTGATTGGGTGTTTGAAACTGGGTGTTTATTTGGTTTGTAGTATCCATGGAGTATGTGTGGTATTGTGTGGATTGTGAATGAGTTTGTGTGAATGGAGTGAATTGGTTAGGGGTATGTTCATATTGTTGTGATTGTGTGAGTGGGGATTGAAAATATGGTTGGGTTGGCAGTTGGAAATGGGGTTGGGATGGTGGTTGGAAATGGGGTTGGGTTGATGGTTGGAAATGAGGTTGGGTTGGCGGTTGGAAATGGTATTGGGTTGATGGTTTGCAATGAGGTTGGGTTGGCGGTTGGAAATGGGGTTGTGTTGGCGGTTGGAAATAGGGTTGGGTTGGTTGTTGGGGCCTTGATGATGAATCTTGTTGGCGTGGGTCAACAAGATACCTTGGATGTGAAATGAAACAAATTGATACAGACCTATACCAAGTCATGTATTATATTGATTGTTTCATCTCGTATGGAAACACAGTGTCGGACAAAACATAGTTGTTGCGATGCCTCCATTCACGACACTCATGTTTTGCATACTTGGTCCACGGATTATATTCTCATTGGTCGGAGACTTTACCGGTGTGATATTTGTCGGGGATGCACTTTGGCGGACATGGAATATCTTGAAGCATTCCAAATTGAAGTTTCACACAATCACTGTTGTGCATTTCCACGGTGGTGAAGTTGATAATCGGCACCTTTACACTCCACACCGCACAGTCTTGTCGTTCAACTTCGTGAAAGGCTTCTAGACCAAGATACGGCCGCCAAATGAACAGTAGGAGGAAAAAAATAATATTAAATATTTTCTAATAATATTCAAGTAGAGTATAACATAAATAGTTAGGTTTGTGAGTGTACATCATCTTGACCCAAGTGATCAATAAGATTTTTGTACTGCGTGATATTGTAATGTGGACAGTTGTCATAATTCATTCCAAGCGAAGACCACCTACAAATCGAAAAGAAAACATTTATTAATAATATGATTAATTAATTGAAATACTATGATAGATAAGTGAGAATTGGGAAAAATAATTACCTTTTAGCGAATGGGAATTCAAAATTATTTTGTTGGATAGGTGCTAGATTGGTCATTCTTGACCAACCTCATGCTTGAAGAAGAACACCACATCCGGTCCAGTTTCCCGAAGGTGCTAGATATGTCGTAGTTTGTCGTAACGAAGGTTGTAAGTTTCGATTAGCAGCGTCCTATCGAAAAAGAAGTGATTGTTGGTGATTGGTTCGATGGATCCACCTCATACTTGTTAGAACACATATTGGTTCTTAATAATTACTCTTTGTTTTGATGATAAATGTTAGGAAATTTATATTTAAGAATTATATACTCTAAAATTTGTCTGAGAGTTTTACTGCAGATTAAAATTATATTGACTCTCTAGAAGCAAATCTGCCTTTGAATACAAGAAGCTATTCTGAATCTGAAGCGCCAGATGCATCTTACAGAAGAATCTGCTTGCTCCTTACAGAAGATCCTGAGCGTAGTCTCCAGAAGGATCTGAAGAAAGAAGCTCCAGAACATTCTGAGTCAGAAGCATCTGAAGATAGCCAGAAGCATCTGAAGATAATCAGAAGCATCTGAAGCTGAAGCATCAGAAGTATAGAAGAATATTGATTGAAGAGTTTCTCAAAGCATTGATCTACAGAAGTTTCTGAAAGTACCTACGCTGCCAAAGTACTGAAGTTCTGTGTCAAGATGCTCTGATGATCAACACGCTAGAAGCACACAGCTGCAGAAGACTCTGATACAGCATAGTTCTGAAACTCATCAGAAGATTCTGATCCATTCAGACTCTGAAGAACTTGCTGAAACTGAAGAAGTGTTTTCAAGAATGTATCCGTTGGAATCATTCAACGTCTCTTTCCTTATTTGTGCTAGACACACTTACACAGACAAAAAGGATTTATTTGTGCCATCTATTTCAAGGAAAGGTCAGTACATGTGAAGACAAAAAAGGCTCAGACCTTTTGGACTCTCTTTTCAACGTGGAAAATTCAGTTGCCTATAAAAGGAGCCTCTCACTTCATTCTTCAGTTACACAGTCTTGAGCTATACACTTGCTGAAAAGAAATCAAATATTCATAAGCTCTCTCTCTTATTCTTAATAGAATCTTTGTACTTAAATCTTAAGAGAAAAATCACTGTTGTGGTTATAGCTTTATAGAAGCATTAAAAACTCTTGTATTTTACTTACATTGTTTGTAAAGGAATTTCCTTAAGAGGATTCAGTGTGAATCAGTAGCTCTTGAGAAGACTAAGAACTGTAGTTCTTAGGTGATACTATTGTAATCAGTTTGATTTAATAGTGGATTAAGACCTTGTTGAGAAAGGCAAATCACTCTGTAAGGGTGGACTGGAGTAGTTGTTTAACGAACCAGGATAAAAATAATTGTGTGATTTATTTCAAGTATTAATTTTCTAAACTTATTCAACCCCCCCCCCCCCCTTCTAAGTTATATCTCACCTTCAGTTGGCATCAGAGCTCCGGTTCTGAGTGTGCTATCACTTAACAGTGTCAGTAAAGATCCAGAGGAGATATACTTTGGTCTATATATTTATTTGTTATCATGGTTGATAATTCAATCAACAATAAATATGAAGAGAAGGATAGGATCAGTACCAAACCTCCAATGTTTGATGGAGAAAAATTTGACTATTGGAAAGATAGAATAGAAAGTTTTTTTCTTGGGTATGATGTTGATCTTTGGGATTTAGTCATTGATGGATATGTACATTGTAACACCCCCTTCTATACCCCAAATAAATGCATATAAAACAATTAAGCACATACAAATTATCAGAGTAAAAAGGTTTTATAATAAGGTATAAAAGAAGAATGCCACAATTTCACCAATAAACCACTTCTACTATTTGCTCCATAAAATATGTAACATTTTCAATTTAAGCGGAAGATAAAATCATTTGATCGTTTTTCAAAATATTAATTCAAATGCACATAAGTCATCCAGATTAATACATCATATCAGTTAGATTACAAAACCACATCAGCTGATACATCACAATGTATCACAAAAGAATGACTATACTAATCTAACTACCCGGTGTTACATATCAGAGCAGCAGACTCAAAAGAATGAAGACTAACTTCACGAAAGGACTCCAGCATCCTAATCTGCAATGCCTCATAGAGCATTATAAAACAGCAGAAGGGTGAGAAATATAACCATAATAATCAAAGCATGAGATTATATATATATAGGTAGTCATATAGCACATATTCACATTTCTCACCACACTTCGTTCTCATAGTCATAAATCATATCACGTTCATATATATATCAACATTATGAACATTCACAAGCACATCCCTTCATGCTTAATTTCACAATCATTCACAAGCACATTTGTACAACAACAATATTATGCAATGTGACTCAACATTTCAATGCAATTCAATGCTATGCGGTACCGACTCTCGTTATCTTTTTTCGGTTTTCACTCTAAACCAGGTCCACCCTTCTAGACCGATAACTCGTTATCATTTTTCGGTTTTTACTTTAAACCGGGTCCACCCTTCTAGACCGATAACAACCAAGCCCGTCCCCTAGGCTTCAAACCCACCCTTCTAGGTTTGGGACAAGCCACTAGTTTCCACGAAACTAACGGACATTGCCTCTTGACTGAATGATGCATGTACAATCAACCAATCACAATAAATGCACTTAAGACCGTCCCCGCGTCTTAATCCCATGCATTCGAATAATTCAC